CACAACAGACAGATAACACAGAGCGTGGTTCTCTACTGGAGCAAAAAAGTATACTACTGTTATGTGTACAGAATTGGAGAATCCAACAGCCTCAACATACAGCAGCTTTGTAAAGCTACCCATTACTGCGAATTTTAATGCCCAATTTTCCTACCAAACATTAAGCAAAGAACAAAGTCACTTTCCATATTTCCACTTTCTCTTTTAAGTGCATTTTGAAATACTACAAGGATTTTTTGTTATGCTTGCTACACTGTACAGAAAGACTACAATAGCTGAGATTACAATGATTAAAACCTCGCACCCCAGAAAACCCAAATGACCATTGGAAGCACAACAGAAGCTGAAGAACGTATCTCAAGTGCGAAAGAGTATCAGTTAAACGTTTTCCTAATAGTTTTTTAACTTGTCTTTGGGCTTTGTGTATTTGTTAAGTCTAATCTGAACTTCAGAATTAAGGAATGACTGAAGAAAGGCATCTTTTTGATCCTAGTGTTACAACAAAATATTTCCAATAAGCAAATGTTCTGTTTTGTCCACATTTAGACATCCATGAATGTGCTGCCATAAAATAGCTGTAGATGCAGGTCAACACAACATAATTTTCTTTCTTTTTTTTTTTTCTTTTCCTAAATTCAACAAAATTCCTTGCCTGGTTTTCAGTGTTTGATGCCACATTACTGCATTACCCCACCAAAGCAACTGATTGGATCTGTTCTGCACATGTGAATTAGCACCTTGTTAATTGCAGAACACATGGGTGCTTTTTTTTTTCCTAAGCAGAGAAACCTATTTATTTGCTCTTCATTAACTGAAATATGTACATGGCAAATGTATTATGAACATGGCCTCATTTCCTTTGGTTCTTCTCTCGTCCTCAGTAAACAGATCATATTATTACAAAGTCATCTAGATTCATTTTGCAGCGCAGCATGTAATGATAGTGATTTTGTAGTACTTTTCATCTGCATCTCTTTTCCTTCTGTGGTTATCCTTTGTTTTTAACTTTTCCCTTTCCAAATACTGCGTAGTTCACCACATGTTGAAAAGTCCTCTAATTCTTTCATTATTTTTAATTTAACTTTTCCAACTATATCTTAAACAGTAGCGATCAGTCTTTCTATAGCAGCATCACAGAAGTCATTTAAAATTCAGTGGGAATCTCTAACGTGACTTATCATCTACCACTTCTAGGGAAGTCTATACACACTATACATATATGTATACAAACAACAGAAATTTTTAGCATCAGAAATAGATGTCATATTAACTTCAACACTTCTGAAGCTTCATCAGAGACAGTAAATCCTGAAAACGAACTGCAACTTTGCTGATTATAAGACTTTTTTTTTCCTGTGAATATTTTATTATCCCATGAAATAACAAACTTGAGAGATGGAATTAGCTCAGATTTTAAGAATATAGATGAAATATAAACAGAAAATATATCTATCTTTGAAAGTGATTGTATTTTGTGTTGATTTCACACAGCATCCACTTTCTCCCAACATATTTTTGAAACAAGTCATTGAGAGTTCAAGCTCCTTGTCATGGCAGTCACCTCAATTAACACATGAAAAAAATTGTTACTTGGAAACACAGGATAAAACAAGAGGAAATACATAATATCTGAATGTCCTCCAGTAACTATGTCAAGTCTAAACCACCCAGCTCTCTAAGGGCAGTTTCTGTTTTCCAGCCTCAACAATACAGTATTTGCCAGCCACAGTGTTTGTGCTACTATTCATGGACTGTTTGACAGCAGCTTTAATCTGAGCTATCCATCTTCAGTGTCTCTCCGCTACTTACTACTACAAGCTTTTTTCCTATCAGTCTTGATAGTGAAACACTGTAGTGGACAAGAGCTCCAACGTCTGTCTTCCCTTTCTAGAGAAAAAAAGACCCGTACCTTTGGAAATTGTTTCTGACGGATCATCAGTACTAATATGGTAGGTGAATCACTTCCAATACTTTAAGTCAAAACACCTTATCCGGCAAATAAAGCAAAAGAAAAGGTTTGTTACAGTCTTCCTCTAGTCTTAGACACTGTGTCCACTCTTACACTACTACGCTATTCCACAAATGAGAGTGGAATTGGAAAAATAACAGCAGTTCTTTAGTATGCATTTGTCTTTAAGTGCCAATTTTACCTACTTGCAGAGGGCAACTTACTTCTGATTTTGTTCTGCATTCTCATAGACCATTTCCATGCCAAACATTTAAGGTTGACCACCCACCATAAACACCTTTTCCTGCATATGTCTTTTTCCCATTCCTTTTAGACACTATTGAGGTCTAAATACTGTCATTTATGTCCAAAAAACTCCAAGAAGTTTATTGAAATAACACCCAGATAAGAGCCACGAAAAATGAACAGCATACAGTAGTTGACTGCTTGACCTCTTCAGGGCTAACCAAAAGTTAAAGGATGTTATTGAGGGCATTATCCAAATGCCTCTGAACACTGGCAGCCAGGGGACACCAAGCAGTTCTCTAGAAAGGTTGTACCAGTGTTTGACTATTCTCACGGTAAAGAAATTGTGCCACATCCTCACATTCTGTCACTGGCTACTGGAATTTAAACAATAAGGAATGCTGGTAAAATTGACCTTAGTAAGATACCAACCAAAACTCATTTTTTAAATGGTATTTCAATTATTTAGAATATTCATTACTTTTAATTATTGATTTGTTATATAATAGTGCTCCAGTGCTCAGTGAAAGCTTCCATACAAATGTCAGTGTTTGTTCTATTAAACAATAACAAAATTCATCCACATCACAAAACAGCAACTACTGAGTGTCATTCTAAAAGTGTTACAAGCACATTCTCATTAATGTATACCAGGAAAATGACTAAAAAGCATATTACTACATGAAAAAATTCCCTATAAGCTATAATTGCTCATTGAAAAGAACAATGGCATTAAATGATTTTTTCCCATTATGTGTCAGAAGCCTGTCATCTCAAAATTCATTCTGGCTCCCACATTATAAGTACACTTCAGTATTTCTATAGGCAATGCCAAAATAATCAGCAGGCACTCACTGACTTTTGCCAACAAAAGCATGACTCTTTGCACAAGAATTTTCTTGCCATTTATAAACAAAGACATTCTGGAAGTCCACGCCTGTGATTGGCTGTGGCAACTGATACACTCCGCCATAAGATAAAACAGATAGAAAATACTGATTTATTAGAAACAGTAAATATTTTACAATAACTCTATTTAAACATATAACATCTATGTTTAAATAGGTTATTCTACTCTTAAAATATTTTAATATACTAAATATTACGTGATTTATGCGTCATATACTCAGGAATTCAATGAAATGCTGTGAAAAACTGTCCTGCAAAATCAACAGATGAGTAATGCTAAGCCACAAAAATTGCAAACTCACAACCCTCTTAAATTAAAAGATACTGAACATCTTACTAAGAGACAACTTTGAAGTTAAACTTCATTTTGATACGGAACAATCTCAGTCATTTCTGACAAAACTTCTTAACCACGTATTTGATCTCCAATCCTGTTGACTGTTTCAGTGTCGGAACACACAAAGGTCAATCTCCCATATGCAGCAAACTGCGAAATGCCCCAACCAACTCTTCTGGCACCGTGCCTCACCAAGCACATGGGAAATTGACAACTTCACCGTTCTCCTGCTGCCATTACTATGGTGATCACAGTAAGAGAAATATCACAGTGAGAAGGGCTGAGCAGAAGCTGGATTTCTTCTCCAGCTATGCACCAGATACAGTATTTTCTAAAATACAGCAATCATAGCTAATGTAAATAATTTTTACGCTCTGTCTGAAGACCAAATATTATAGTTGCAATTTTTATTTATGTTCCTATAATGGAATTAGGTGACAGAAGACAACATATTTACAATATTTTAGTTCCTGTATCTAGGGAACATGCAAGAAGCAGGAATACATCAAAATGCTAAATGTTCAGCCTGTGATTCTTTGGTGTTCACCAAACATGAAGTTCTTACATCTTCTGCTCTATCTACTTAATTTTGTGCTCTCTTCTTGATACTGCACAATTTTTATCTCTTATTTAAGAGGAAGGATGCCCTGGATAAGAAACTAAAAAAGTAGAAGTCAAAGCCATCTTCATTTTACTCAATTACTATGAATTTAAAAAGTTAATATTGTATGTGGTTCACACAACAAAAAGAAGGAAATTACTCAATTTTACTGCAGCTGAAACCAGTGAGACCTGAGGTTTTATTCAGATTTTTCTGTGTGTTAGGTCAGGTTTTGTGTGTGTGTGTGTGTGTGTGTGTGTGGTTTGTGAGTTTGTTTTTGTTTTCTTAGCATGCTTGGGTTGTTTTCATTTCCTTATTTCAGATTTCTATTGAGTTTATCAAGAGATCACCTTACTAAAAATAAGGAAAAAGAAAGAAAAGTTCTAGTAAACAGTTCAGGATTTGATTCATGCAACCGTGTCATGACAAAGAACAACACTTATATACTGTCCTTCAAAACACACACAGCAATACCATAAATAAGCAAACATTGCAGGTTAGCGTAGTTACGTTATACAGAATACAGAAATTTGTAGTTTATAATACTTCTGTCCTGGCTCCTAAGATCGTGCTTAGTCTACAAAAACCCAAAACAAATAAATAGAACTGCTCCTCAGCAAAATAATAAACTGACTGAAAGATAACCCCACTCAGTCAGAATAAAGAAATGTATGTCTGCAACTGTTTTCTTACCGTTTCCTTTGCCACATGCAACACAAGCTTAGGTTTCAGTTTTCCAGACTCACTGAGCAAATTGGCCATATTTCCTCAGTGGAAATTAGTTAAACTCACTGTTAATTTACATGTTAAAAAACTGTCCTTACAGCTCTTCTCTCTTTTATCCCTCTTCTCTGAGGGATAAAAAACGAACCAAAACAAACCAACACACAAAAACAATGACTAAGTCACATACCAGGTAACAAAACTTACAAAAAAGTAATTTAAAGGTTTTGTCTTACCTCATTAAATCTCGTCACGAGATCTTCTACAGCATTACGTTCACCATTTGGGGAAGAAAGAATAGTAGCAGATATGGAAGCTTTAATACAAGGAAGCTTGCTTTGACACTCAGCGTTACCCAAATCCCTGGTCAAGAAGCAGAGGTAGTCAATGGGTAAGACTTTCCGGTAGAGCTCCTGCTCCTGTTCAGTGAGAATGCTGGCAACCTCCTCTGGGAACTGAATGAGGTGCTGCAGGTCAATGAGCTCCTTGCTGATACCAGCCACGTTGGAGGGAAGGACACTGGAGCCAGCCATAGATGTACACGCTTGACGTTCTGAAACAAAACAAATAAAAAATTTATTAGGTTTCTCCTTTAACTCTTGGATCGGGCTGTGCAAAAGTAAGACAACTTGTTCCCGCTGCTCTTTTAAGCCGCTCATTCATTTACTCAGCATTATAGTATTTTGAAATTACTTCATATTTAAACAACCTAATACATTCCTTCCTTATACATCTATAAAACTACAGCGGGTAACGGGATCTTCAAAGATTGTCAAGCTCCTGTCAAAATGTGCTTGCTTCTTGACTTATCCAAACACCTGCTGCAAATACCTGCAAGTCATGCCCAAAGGATCATTTTGACTCTACTTCACCTCCATGTCAGAGTCTGTAGTAGAGACTGAGGCAGTGGGAGTCTCTTGGCTCAAGAAATAATGTACAATGATATAGCAAAACCCATGCAGTTAGTGCATTTCTTCACATTCCTCTTACTGTAAAATACAACTCATCTGAACTCACTGCACTGGAAAAAAAAAAAAAGTGCAAAATTACAAAATATTTTTCATTCTTCTGGGAAAATGCATATATTTGGAAGTATGCATGTTTTATCCATTATTACAAAAGATTCATGGTAGTTTTATAATATCCTAACAGCAACATCCCCAGAAAAATAAAACTTTTCCTAAGATGGAAGAAGCCAAGCTTTGTAAGACCATGTGGGAAGCCTGAAATATCAACACAATAATTCCAAAATAGTGAGTATGAGTCTTCTGACTTGATAAGTTTAGAATGGGCACTCTGAACAATAATTTTTCAAAAATTACTTAAATATATAAACAGTCATATTAGTATATTTCTTCCCAGGAAGAAAGAGTTTATTTTTCAGTGTTGCTTATACCTTTAGAGGTTTTTTGTTCACATAATGGATTATACACTCCAGATCTACTTTGTAACTTGACTTTTTTCATATCAACGTATTCTCATTTCGCACATGGTGCACATCTCCCTTCTGTTCTCTAAATCAAAATGTTCATACTGACTGATTACAATTCATTCCTTTGTAGCAAACAAAATATGCTACATGATTTTTCCCTGGCTATATTCTTTTTACATAAAATCTATGATAAAAAAGACAGAAAAATGCCTTTTCTTCATATAGTTCACAAAAGGTTGGAAGATAAATTACACCAGACCTAAATAAAGTCGTTGGGCTAACAGAACCTGTTGAGAAATTTTCAAGTACTTAAACACTTCAGAAAGAGCCAAGGAGTAATCATTTCTGTGCATAGACTGCAAAGAAAAAAGTAATGGACTTAATTTGCTGTAAGAAAAATTCCAGTTAGACAGTACAGAACAGATGCAACTCCAAGGACAGTACAGATATCAAGAAATCTGTCACTGAAACTCCTGCAAGAAAGATCAGAGAAAAAGACAGTTAAGAACACCATATTGCTGTGTCGATCCTGTTTTGGGCAGGGGTTGAATCGCTGTGAGTTTCTAGGCTTTCTTTCAGTAGCTTTAGTTCTACATGGGGCTCCAGTTCTGCTCCAGTTTTGTTTTCCACTTCATTTTATGCAGAACAGTTCTGCCTTCTTTAGTAAGGAAAAAGCTCTTGAAAGCTCATTTGGACTGTTTTTAACTTTATAACAGAATTTAAGCATGTGTAAAAATAAAAACAATGCTCATCTGATATCATAGAAGTTGCACATTTGCGTATATGAACTGAACTGTCACCGTCAGAAGCAGAAAAAAAGAAAGAAGAGGATAAGGAACTCACAACAGAAAATCTCTTCCCATCCATTTGCCCCCAAAGACTCCTTTGCAATTCATACACCTCCCAGGCAGGATGAGCAGCCAGGCAGAGAAGCAGAGAAGTGCTGTTGTGTCAGCCTCTCCTGTGCCTCATACTACAGCCAGGGTGTACAGGCTGAGCCTGTGCTGGCGTTCTACTTCATATTAGCTACATGCTTTTGAATGGAATCTTGCAAACAGCCTCACTTATAGTGCTGCATCTTACAGTCTTAAGATCACAGAAGCTGGATCCTTGTCAGATAAAACAACAGCCTCATGGCTGAACAATCTGCTCCCAGGGGGCAGTTAAAGTATCCCCACTGCCAACAAGCCCCCACCATCAGTGGCACCAGGTTCTGGGCAGGACTGAGCTCAGCATGGGTAGCTCTGTAGAACTAGGCTTGGCTGCAGGAGATCACAAAGCACATGAGACAAGACTGGTATGGTTAATCTAATGTCACAGAAATACTGATGCTTTACAGATTCAACATTGTTTGGCAACTACAGTTACAGCCACTTCATTATTATCTATCAATATTATAGCAAAGGAAAGCATAACACCGTAAGGACTACCAGTCAAGTAGCAACTGAGGTAGAAGGAAGAATATATGGTTGAAGATGAGCTATTCCCCAGTGCACTGCTTGCTGATGAGATTTTGAATGCTTGAAAGGAATCCTCAAGAGTTTACCTTCTCCATTGCAATACCAACAACAAAAACTCTCCATATTCACACTTTCAACAGGGCTACACTGCATATTGTCCCAGAACTGCCATGCCTAGGCATAGCTCTCCTCACTGCTGCTTCTTACTGCTTCCACATCTAAGAACAAGGCCCTGAACAATGAAGGGAGCAGATGCAAGAGGACTTATCCACAGTGCACTGCTAGACTCCCTGAAACTGCCGGAAATGTATCATCCAAATTTCATTTTACTCACTGCCCATTGATCAAGACCAGCAGAAAGCTAATGCATTTTCAATGCATTTTCAATGAAACTGAGGGACAGCACCATGCTCTGTTGCAGCATCTTCGAAAGACAGCTTCATTTTAACAAGAAAACCAAACTCTCAGAAGAAAATCTTATCATGGAAGCTAAGATCACTGAAGTCACAGTGCTAAATATGATCAGCCACCATTACTGCTGCACTTGGAGGGAAATACAAACTAAACAAACTCTTGCTGATTCAAAAACTGAATTGCAGACTAGTATTTTTAAGTCTTTGTTAAAATGAAAGAACTAAAAAAGCATTCTGTTTTTAAAGCCCAAGAAAGAAGCCACTGCAGCAGAGCGCTGCTGATATCCAAGGAGAGGAGCACAGCCAAGCAGAACTGTAAAGGCTCATACCTCATGGCTCAAGTGTGGATATAAATAATGAGCAAGTGGAAATATAACTTATTTCTGTGGAATATTTTTACACCTATAAATACATCCATAATTTGCATCCTTGCACACACTGACTGTTGATATACGTCACCCCTCCAGAATCTGATCTTTCATCTTTCCCTCTTCCAGCCTCCTGCGTTCTGTCACAGAAGATCCAGGATCCCCACTCAGCTGCACTACCCTCCCACCCATGATTTACACCCCGCACAAAAGTCTCCTCCTACACTCTCTCTCCCTCTGTACTAATCCAGCCTTTTTTTTCCTGGACTGTTTGTTTCTTTTTCCTGTCTGTAACTTTCACAATTTTTCACGCCAGGAACTGATCTGCATTGCTCTGTTTGCTGGTTTCTGCTGTGAAACTTCCTATCACTCCCATCTACAAGTCCTCCAGCTTTCAGTTGTCTCCCTCAGGAAACAGATGCTATCTTTCTGCGCTTCAAAGAAAGACCAGGTCTTGGGATTAATTTGCAGAATGAAACTGCTTTCAGGCCAAAATCACAGATTTCCTTCTTAGAGTTAAGGCAGGACATAATTCTCAATAAAAGTAGAGAATCAGCTGCCTCTGCAGCAAGTTGCAATATTCTTTGTGTGTTGCCATGTCAAGTTGAAGCTAAAACTGCAGAAGAAAATGGGAAAGACCTTCACTATTCATTTGCAAGTTGTCTAACACTGGAGTTGACAGATTCGTTTATCCTTTTGATAAACAATCTAAGCAGATAATCTTTTAAAGAGCAAACATTGCTTCTATTAATCAAAACAAGATAACCTCTGGCAAGCATTAAAAGAGGACTCACAGGTTGACTTCATTTCTGATACGCATGGGAAGAAAATCCCTCATCTTCTCTAACAAAAGAATGGGAGAAAAATACAGAATCACTGCTTTAGGGAATTATTCAGCCCCAGCACATCAAAAGCTCTTGAAAAAAATGCTATCTGAAGAAATTGTTCATTTTGCTTTTTTTCAAAAAAGAACATTTACAAGATTTTACTATGGAGTTCTTGCATCAACAAATAAGCACTCAATTATTATTAGTATAAAACTTAGAATTTTCACATATCTTTAATTTGTCTATGCTGAATAAACAAAGTCCAAGTAGGTAAAACAAGTTTAAGTAGGTAAAACCCCTGTGAATGCGTGTTTGTGTGTACATGAAAGTTCCAAGATAGTCTTGAAAACCTGGATTTTTGCTGATCTTTTCTTTATTGAACTGTATTATGTTTGTGTTTGATATATGAGCATGAGACTGATTTGTGATTTTTTGAAAATGAAAAACAAGGAGCTCACTTTAATGAAAAATGAAAAGATACTTTCATCAATAAAAACATTAAAAATTCTGCTGGAAGGCCAGTGTTAATTACTGTAATCTTTCATATTTTTTCCACATTTCTATGTTCTACTAAACACAGTCCTTGTGCGACATGCAGTACTTCCTAGCAACAAGAGCAAAACGATCTGCTTATTTACCATATTACTTGTAAAGCTAAAATTAAAAGGTGCTTATTTTTTAGATTTTATTTCATCATTCATACAAATGATTTGCTGATACACAATGTGTTATAAATGTCGAGCTGCTGCCATCAGTCTTCTCTAAGCAGAAATTCAGTACTGGCTTTCAGAAAATAAACAGAATTCATAGAAAGACAGAAGGAAAACAAATATCACCCTGACTGTAACCACACAAATGTCAGAAGTGCTAATCCTGCCCAAAATTACCATTGCCAACCATTCAATTTGTACTTTGATAAAATCACATCACTTTCCATGTGAATTCTGACCAAGTAAGGACAGTGGCACAGAATTACTTTCATCCAAACTCAAATACATTAACTCTTTAAACTGATACGTGTAGGAATGTGCTATGCATCGTTGCAGAGAGAAT